CCCTGATGATTCGGGGCTCTGGACGCCCGAGTTATCCGGGGTAACTCGGGTCCGGGGTAACTCGGGTTTGGATTCCCGAAAAACGAACCCGAGTTAGCCCTGACCCGAGTTACCCCTGATGATTCGGGGCTCTGGACGCCCGAGTTATCCGGGGTAACTCGGGTCCGGGGTAACTCGGGTTTGGATTCCCGAAAACGAACCCGAGTTATCCCTGACCCGAGTTACCCCTGATGATTCGGGGCTCTGGACGCCCGAGTTATCCGGGGTAAACTCGGGGTCGAAAATTAATTCCCGAAAAACGAACCCGAGTTAGCCCTGACCCGAGTTACCCCTGATGATTCGGGGCTCTGGGCGCCCGAGTTATCCGGGGTAACTCGGGTCCGGGGTAACTCGGGTTTGGATTCCCGAAAAACGAACCCGAGTTATCCCTGACCCGAGTTACCCCTGATGATTCGGGGCTCTGGGCGCCCGAGTTATCCGGGGTAACTCGGGTCCGGGGTAACTCGGGTTTGGATTCCCGAAAAACGAACCCGAGTTATCCCTGACCCGAGTTACCCCTGATGATTCGGGGCTCTGGGCGCCCGAGTTATCCGGGGTAACTCGGGTCCGGGGTAACTCGGGTTTGGATTCCCGAAAAACGAACCCGAGTTAGCCCTGACCCGAGTTACCCCTGATGATTCGGGGCTCTGGACGCCCGAGTTATCCGGGGTAACTCGGGTCCGGGGTAACTCGGGTTTGGATTCCCGAAAAACGAACCCGAGTTATCCCTGACCCGAGTTACCCCTGATGATTCGGGGCTCTAGGCGCCCGAGTTATCCGGGGTAACTCGGGTCCGGGGTAACTCGGGTTTGGATTCCCGAAAAAACGAACCCGAGTTATCCCTGACCCGAGTTACCCCTGATGATTCGGGGCTCTGGGCGCCCGAGTTATCCGGGGTAACTCGGGTCCGGGGTAACTCGGGTTTGGATTCCCGAAAAACGAACCCGAGTTATCCCTGACCCGAGTTACCCCTGATGATTCGGGGCTCTGACACACGGGGCCTCGGGGGGAGGCCGGCCCTCGGGCCCCAGGGTGCCAGCGTGAGGTCCGGCACGTCTCCCTGTCGACGGGCGGATTTTGAGCGAAAGAGCAAAAATGGTCAAAGAAGACTCCCATAGATTCAAAAAATAAGAGAGAACGCGTCCCCATACTATGCTTTGACTATTTTTGAATATCCCTCCTGTAGAGGGGCACGCCCGGCTTAATACCAGCGGAGACGGACCCCGGCACGGACTATGACTGCCCCACCAGGGGAAGCGGTCGGGACCTCCGCAGACCGCAGATCGATCGGGCTCGAACAATGGCCCAGACCCCCTCGGGCAATGACAAAATCATGACGGGAGGTTTTTCCTGATTTTCGGCCTCCGAGGGCCCTCACTGGGCCTGGGGACCGTCAACAAAAACGACTCAGGATGAGAAACCGGCCCTGGGGAAGGGGTCGAGACCTCTGGGCGTCGACGTAATAAAAAGATCATGACGTCGGGGGTCTGGGGATGCAGAAGGATGGGGTCCAGGGCTCCTGGCGCGATTTTCTGCGGTGCTGCAATTTTTTCCTGGTTTCGTCGGATCTCAGGGTTTCCCCTGCCCTCGGACCCCTCGCGCTGAGAACCAAATCACGACGTGAGGTTTTTCGCTGTTTTGGGGCCTCCAGGGGCCCTTACGGGGGCCTCGGGCCTGTCAGGAAGCGACTCGTGATGAAGAACCAGTCCCTGGGAAGGGGTCCAGACCTCTAGGGGTCGACGCTGTGAAAAATCATGACGTCGAGGACTGCCTACCATTCTCCGCCTCCGACAGGTGCTGGGAATACCTCGTGGATGTTACAGATGCAACTCGAGATCGCACCAGCAGGCACGATAAGACATATAATCAACCTGTGTAGTCCCACCAGCCCTCTAGGCGTAGGTGGTCTAACGACCAAGCGGAGCACTAGGGGCACCAGGCTATGCTCGCCCTGGCCCAGCCAGCAGTGTCACGACGTCGACGGTCTGGGTCTGGGGTTAGGTCGGGCATGTCCCCCTACAGGCAGATTTGGGGCGAGAAATTCGCCGGCCCAACGGGCCAGGGCGTGCTAAGATCTCCGGTAACTGGTTAACAGTATTAACAGTATTTCTAGTTCGCGCGCGCGGGGCGGCCCCTGGGGGTCCCCCGGCGAAAAGTACCCCGACCAACGCCCGACCGCCGCCCGACCGCCGCCCGACCGCCGCCCGACCACCGCCCGACCAAGTCTACTCAGAGATGGTTTTCCTTCTGGGTGCGGCCTCTCAGGCTCCCCAGAGCGCGCTCAGAGTGCCCCAAGAGGCCCCCAAGACTGCCCAAGAGGCCCCCGAGACGCCCAAAGAGCGCTCGAAGACGCCGAAGATGACCCCAAGACGGCCCAAAAGGCCCCCAAGACAGCCCAAGAGGCCTCCAAGACGCCCCAAGAGCCTTCCAAGAGGCCTCCGAAGAGAGCCCCAAGAGGCCAAAATCGTTGATTTTCATTGTTTTTTTCTATGTTTTTTGTGTTCTGGCTTTTTCGGCTTCCGGACGCTCCAAGACGGCCCAAGAGGCCCCCAAGACCGCTCCAAGACGGCCCACGAGGCTCCCAAGACGGCCCCGGAACGGCCCAGGAGGGCCCCCAAGACGGCCCAAGTGCCGCCCAAGACGGACCAAGAGGCCCCAAGACGGGCCCAAGAGGGGCTCAAGAGGGGAACCGAGAACTGAAAAATCGAGCCCTCCGCCCCAGAAGGCGCCCAGGAGGCCCCAAAAAGGCCCCAAGAGGCCCCCAAGAGGCCCCCAAGACGCCCCAAGAGGCGCCCAAGAGGCCCAAAAGAGGCCCCAAGAGGCCCCAAAACGGCCCCCAAAACTCGGCTAGCCCACAACGGTGCGACAATATGGGCCGGCGGAATGAGCGAAGCGATTAAATAAAACATAGTCAACAATTACCCCCACATCGCCAAAAACAATAGGAACATCGTCCCCAAACTATTTTTGCTACTATTCTTGACTATTCCTCCTGTATAGGGACACGCCCGACTAGGTCTGGGGCCGCGAACTCGAGGCAGCCGCGCCGGCGCGCGCGCGAATCTCCGAGAGCTGATGCCCGGTGCCGCTCTGGCCTCTCCGAGAGGTCCGCCCCTGGCTCCGCCGGCCACGGCGACGGCCTCGACGGATGTCGGCCGCCTCCCTGCTGCATCTTCGGAGGGCCCGGCCTGTCGCGCCGCGCCTCGAATCCTCCGCGCCGAGTCCGCGCCGAGCCCGCGTCGGGCCTCGTCGAGGCCTCGCCGAGTCCGCGTCGAGCCCACGCCGCATCCGCGCCGAGTCCGCGCCAAAGCCGCGTCGAGCCCGCATCGGGCCCGCGTCGAGTCCGCAGGACACCGCCCTGGGGGGGCGGAGGGAGCCTCGACCCCGACGCTCCCCAATGGCCGGGGCGCAAGCCCCCACATCATGGGCGCCCGGAGACCGCGCGGCGCGAGCCGCGCGTCGTGATCTCCGTCGGACCCCCAGGGGGCCCCGGGACGCTCGTCAAGACGAAGACGGAATGGAGACAACCTCGGACCGATGCAGCTCGGCAGCCTCTGAGAGTCGGTGGGCTCGGAAGGCGGAGCGGGCGCCGCCGCGGCCGTCTCAGAGAGCGCTCCGGGGCGCTCCGGAACGGGTATGCACCTCGCTTCTGGGCCCGTCCGACGTGTGCCGTTCTGACCTCTTCCAGTCCCGCCCTGGAGTGCGTTCACACCGCAACCTCGAGGCGAAGCCAGCGGTGGTGACGAGGGCTTCCGCCGAGGCCGAACCAAGATGGAATCCAGGGAAGGGCAGGGGTATCGCTGCTCCAAGTGTCGTAACACAAGGCAGGGGGTTACAACCCCCCCAGAGGAGCAGTTTTAGTCCCCTCAGACCAGCCAAGGACGGGCGGCCTTTTGCCCTGACCTTGCGGAAACCTCCAAGACAGCTCCAAGCAGACCCCCCAAATAAATCAGACCCCCCACCTTGTATTATGAGACTCGGCGTACATTTTCCTCCTCGGAGCTCTGGTCTATTCGAGGCCCGCCCCGGGGCTGCGTTCTCACCGGAACTTCGAGGCGAAGCCATGCAACATCGCAAAACAAATCACGCCTGGAACCCCAGAACCCCTCGAGTTATGAAAAAGTCACGACGGGAGGTTTTTCACTATTTTCGGCCTCCGGGGGCCCTTACAGGGCCTCGAGGCCGCCAAAAAACGACTCAGGACGAAGAACCGGTCCCGGGGAAAGGGTCCAGACTTCTGGGGGTCGCGTCATGAAAAATTCATGACGTCGGGGGTCTGGGACCCCAGACCCCATCTTTCTGCGTCATGTCTTCTGGGCCGGATCGCTCCGTGAGGGCCCCATGGGGCCCGAAATGGAGCGACAACGCCCCGGCTCGAAAACATCGAGACGCCAGGATCCCAGATCTCCGAGGTCATGACTTTGCCATCACGTCGACACCCAGAGGTCTCGACCCCTTCCCCAGGGCCGGCTTCTCGCCCCGAGCCGTTTCCTGACGGCCCCGAGGCCCGGCGAGGCCCCCCGGAGGCCGACAACAGCGAAAAACCTCCCGTCGTGACTTCTGCATCGCCCGAGGGGCGATCGGTACCCAGACCCCCGACGTAATGATTTTTCATTACGTCGACTCCAGAGTTCTCGACCCCTTCCCCAGGGCCGGCTTCTCGCCCTGAGCCGTTCTCTGACGGCCCCGAGGCCCGGTGAGGCCCCCCGGAGGCCGGCAAAAGCGAAAAACCTCCCGTCGTGACTTCTGCATCGCCCGAGGGCCCAGACCCCCGACGTCATGATTTTTTCATGACGCGACCCCCAGAGGTCCCGACCCATTCCCCGGGACCCGTTTTTCGTCCCGAATCGTTTTTTGACGGTCCCGGGGCCCGGCGACGGCCCCTAAAGGTCGAAAATAGCGAAAAACCTCCCGTCGTGATTTTTTCACGACGCGAGGAGGTCTGGGTTCGGAGCTCTGGCCTCTTCGAGGTCCGCCTCCGGCGCCGCCGCCAGCGGCGACGGCCTGGGCGCGCCGGACGCCTGCGCGGCCAGCTCCGCGTAGAGGTAGCGCAGGAGCCCCCTGCGGGCCAGCACCTCGGCGTGGGAGTCGCGCACGCGCGCGCGGCAGCGGCCGTCGGCGCGCACCTGCGCCGCGAGAGTATACCCACCTCCCGCCCGCCGACGAGATTCCCTGAGATCCCAGACCCCCTCGAGTCATGAAAAAATCACGACGGGAGGTTTTTCGCTATTTTCGGCCTCTGGGGGCCCTCACCGGGCCTCGGGAGCGTCAAAAAACGACTCAGGACGAAAAACCGGTCCCGGGGAAGGGGTCGGGACCTCTGGAGTCGCGTCATGAAAAAATCATGACGTCGGGGGTCTGGGAGAGTATACCCACCTCCCGCCCGCCGACGACATTCCCTGAGATCCCAGACCCCCCTCGGGCAATGAAACGGTCACGACGGGAGGTTCTTCCTGATCTTCGGCCTCCAGGGGACCTCACACCGGGCCTCGGGGCCGTCCAAAAACGACCCAGGACGAGAAACCGGTCCTGGGGAAGGGGTCGAGACCTTCCCAGACCCCCGACGTTGTGATTTTTTCACGACGCGACCCCCAGAGGCCTGGACCCCTTCCCCGGGACCGGTTTTTCATTCTGGGTCGTTTTTTGACGGTCCCGAGGCCCGGCGAGGGCCCCCGGAGGCCGAAAATAGCGAAAAACCTCCCGTCGTGATTGTTTCACAGCGCCAGGGGGTCGAGACCTCTGGGTGGCGACGTGATAAAAAAAATCAGGACGTCGGAGGTCTGGGACCCTGAGTGTGAGTAAGTCTGAGTATGAGTATGTCTGAGTGTGAGCAAGTCTGAGTTATATGAGTAGGTCTGAGTATATGAGTAAGTCTGCGTATGAGTAAGTCTGAGCATGAGGAGGGGAGGAGGAAAGAGGAGGAGGGGGAGGCAGTAGGAGGCGTCCAAGTAATAACAAGAACCCCATCCCCAGACCCCCGACGTCATGATTTTTTCATGACGCGACCCCCAGAGATCCCGACCCCTTCCCCGGGACCGGTTTTTCGTCCTGACTCGTTTTTTGACGGCCCCGAGGCCCGGCGAGGGCCCCCGGAGGCCGAAAATAGCGAAAAACCTCCCGTCGTGATTTTTTCACGACGCGAGGAGGTCTGGGTCTTAGGATATGGGGAAAAATCAGGGCGTCGGAGGTCTGGGGCCCTGGCGTCTCAGAGTCTTCGGGCCGGGCGTGCTCTCGCCTTTCTTCTCGGGCCCCCCGGGGGGGGCCTCGCAGCTCGACCCAGGGCCCGACAGGGACACGCAGGCAGATGGGGTCCAGAGGGCGCCCGCTCGTCCTCCTCGCTCGTCCTCCTCGCTCGTCCTCCTCGCTCGTCCTCGTTCGTCCCCCTCGTGCCTCGCCCTCCTCGTGCCTCCTCCTCGCTCCGACAAGGACATGCAGACAGATGGGGTCCAGAGGGCGCCTGGCGCGCTTTGCCCTGCGGTGTCGCAACTTTGCCGCCGCGTCGGATCGCAAGGTTTCCCATGCCCCAGACCCAGACCCCCTCGAGTAATGAAAAAATCACGACGGGAGGTTTTTCGCCATTTTCGGCCTCCGGGGGCCCTCGCCGGGCCTCGGGAGCGTCAAAAGACGACTCAGGATGCAAAGCCGGTCATGGGGAAAGGGTCGGGACCTCTGGGGGTCGACGTTATGAAAAAATCATTACGTCGGGGGTCTGGGTTTGTCGCCACGTCGGATCGCAAGGTTTCCCATGCCCCAGACTCCCACGCGTGGCGAACAAAAACACGGCGGGTTTTTTTTTGTTCGCTAGTTTCGGCCTCCAGACCGTCCAAAAACGATCCAGGATGAAGAGCCGGTCCCGGGGAAGGTGTTCAGGCCTCTGGGGGTCGACGCTGCGCAAGAGTCGCGCCGACGGATGTCTGGGGCGCCTTCGAGGGAGGGCGGCGGTGTGACACCGCTGGCTCTCAGTAATCATTGATACACCGCCATCCTCCCCAGGAGTCCACTGGAGGGTGTCCGTGTATTTTCCCTGTGGCGGAGCACCGCGTCCCGCGGCATGAACTTGGTGCCCACGCCGAGCGACACCACGGAGAGGCTGTCGTCGCTGGCGGGGTCGTGGGTCAGCATGGCGGCGAGCACCACCTCGCACCGCCAGGGCAGGGCCAGCCAGTGTCGAAGCGGCACGTCGCGTCGAGTCGACATGTGCAGTCGCACCTAGGCCAGAATAGCATCCCTCAAGAACATGAGACCCCCGGTCGGCCGAAGCAAGCAGAACATCCGAGGGCATCCTCCCCAGGATGCAGAGGAACATCCGACGACACGCACGCAAAACACGAGGGCACCCTCCCCGAACCGGTCTCGATCCTGTACCTCCGTCCGACTGCACATCGTATCGGGCTGCAGCGGCACGGAGCTGGAGTTAAGTCGGGCCTATCCCTCTACAGGGGGAACCTTCAAAAATAGCAAAGAAAAATAGCCTGGGGACTATTTTTCTAATATTTTTGGGCATCTTTCGAATACGTTTTACATCAGAGTGAGGGGGCCGAACGGTCATTCACTGTCCCTGGGTGCGTGGCTGAAATGGGATTCCGCGGTGCAAATTCGTGTTGTTGTTGTTGTTGTTTGTTGTTGTTTGTTGTCGTCGTCCCACCCGCAACCCGCCCCGCGACCCACCCGCGACCCACCCCGCGACCCACCCCGCGACCCACCCGCGACCCACCCGCGACCCACCCCGCGACCCACCCCGCGACCCACCCCGCGACCCACCCCGCGGCCCACCCCGCGGCCCACCCCACGACCCACCCGCGACCCACCCGCGACCCACCCGCGACCCACCCGCGGCCCACCCCGCGACCCGCCCGCGGCCCACCCCGCGGCCCACCCCACGACCCACCCGCGGCCCACCCGCGACCCACCCGTGACCCACCCGCGACCCACCCCGCGACCCACCCGCGACCCACCTTCGACCCAAAGCACGTTCAAGGTACAAACCACCATTTTCGGCGCCTGCGGCGAACTTTTCTTGCATCCCTTCCAGGTGGAGAGCCCGCGACCAACTCGCGACCAACCCGCGACCCAAACCACGTTCAGGGTACAAACCACATTTTTCGGCGCCTGCGGCGGGCATCTTTTGCATCCGTTTCAGGTGGAGAGCCCGCGGCCTTCGCGACCACGTTCAGGGTACAAACCATTTTTTTCGGCACCTGCGGCGGGCATTTTTTGCATTCGTTCCCGGTGGAGAACCCGCGACCCACCCGCGACCCAAACCACGTTCAGTGTACAAACCTTTTTTTTCGGCGCCTGCGGCGGGCTGCTTTTGCATTCCTTCCAGGTGGAGGTGGAGAACCCGCGACCCACCCGCAACCCAAACCACGTTCACTGAACAAACCAATGCCGCACAAGCGCGGCGGCGGAGTTTTGCATGCCGTCTGAGCCCGCAACCACCTCTTCAAGCCCCGCGCATCCACACCAGCCCGTCCAGCAACTCTGCCCTGGCGAGTTGCTTTGAGAAGTCGGAGAGCATACAATGGAAAAAAGGATTGCGTTGCCGTTATCTTGGAAGGAAGGGGAGCAGGAGGAGTTAAAAGGGGACGAGGAGGACGCGGAAGAAGAGAAGATGTAAGGAGAATGTGGAGAAAGAGGAGGAGGACGAGGAGGGGGAGAAGGGGGAGGAGGGGGAGGAGGAGGACGAGGAGGGGGAGAACGGGGAGGAGGGGGAGAACGGGGAGGAGGATGATGATGGACGACAATGGGAGGACGAAGATGGAGGCCGATGGGGGGGAGGACGACAATGGGAGGACGATGATGGAAGGACGAGGGGGGGAGAGGGAGGACGAGGAAGAAGAGGAGGAGGAGGACGAGGTGGAGGAGGAGGATGACGATGACGATGAGGACGAGGACGAGGACGAGGAAGAGGAGGAGGAGGAGGAGGAGGAGGAGGAGCAGAGCGCCATCGACAAGGAAGGTGGGGGCCACGAGGTCCGCCGGTTCGACGACGTCCGCGTCGCCCGCGCCCGCCCCCTCACTCTTATCCGCAATTGCGGGGTGCTACGGTATTTCTCATTTTTCGTCCAAAGCGCCCCTGTCGGGGGACAGGCCCGACCGAAAGCTGGCGTCGAATCGCATCGGCTGCGCCAAGATGCGCAGCCGCGGCGTGCGGGCAGCGGTCCGGCACTCCTCGCAGGCGCGCGCCGCCGCGCGTCGACCCCCCGGGGACACGCGGCCCCTCGCAGGCGGAGGTGGCGTGTCGCTCTCCGCCCAAGGCCCCCGACGCCATGCTTTTTTCATGCCGCGACCCCCAGAGGTCCAGACCCCTTCCCCGGGACCGGTCTTTCGTCCCGAGTCGTTCTTCGCCGGCCCCGAGGCCCGGGAAGGGCCCCCAGAGGCCGAAGATAGCGAGAAGCCTCCCGTCGTGATTTTTTTTGATGGCTCGAGGAGGTCTGCGGGGCCCCACGGGGCGGGAGGCTGGGCAAGGCCCGGGACGTCGAAGCCTGGGGACCGGGAAGTGGATGTTTGGAGGCCTGGGAATTGGCACCAAGACCAACGCAGGGGGGTGCCTCCACAGGGGGAAGAGGATCCTCGATTTCGGTGTTGGTGATCATGTTTCGGTCGCCATGGAAGTCAGAACACTACCACCATCGCCGAGATCGGGATCCTCTTCCCTCGGTCGAGGAACACCGCCGATATTGGTGTTGGTGTCAACCTCCAGGCCTGCGAGATGTGGCGCGTCGCGCCGGAGCGCCGGTGGACCAGAAGCGGCGGCGCGGCACGCTGTAGGCCGAAGTTCCCGACCGTCTCGGAGCCGAATCGGCGCGGGCCGGCCCAAACGGGCATCGAAGCGGATCGCTCGTGTTTTCGGAACGGGCCCCGCAAGGGGGGGCACCCTGAGGTCGGGCGTGTCCCCCTACAGGCGCATGTTTTGGGCGCAAAATACAACATTGTAAACAAATGCGCCCAAATAGGCAAAAATACTATAAAATCGTCCCGATACTCCTCCTGTAGAGGGACACGCCCGACTTGAGAGCACCCGCAGCCACCGCCGCCAGGAGTCCTGCCCTGGGCCCCCGGGGGTAGCATCGTAATTAGCCTCCGCCCTCCTCGCCCCGCGGAGAGACGGCACGGCGGTGCTCTCGGTGCGTGTGCTGGTTGCAAGGTGTCGGGGTCGGCCGAGAGGGGGGCGTCCAAGAGGGGGGACCCTGACTCTGGATCCGCCCTACTTTGGCTTTTTTCCC